TTTACATTTGATTTGGTCACCTTTGGAATCCCGGAGAGAGGATCCAAATGCTGATATAATAAAATCGGCTTTCAGTTTCACCAGCTGATCTTCGTCCATCTTCCAACTGCCATCTTCCTCCTGTGATGTTCTGATAAACTCCACTGCACTAATATGATGTCCTTTTACAATAATTTTGTTTGGTGAAAGAAACGGCATGAACTCACAGTTTTCTTCCTTGGCTAGTTCGAACTGTAATAACGAAACGTTAATAACCTAGTGTTAAAACAGTTACGTAGTGCTAATTAATGCAATAATTAAACATTATTTCATTCAACAGTAATATAGAATCAATAGAAATTACGAAATTTAGTTATTTTTCCTCTTAGTGACTAAGAAGAAAATATCTAATAAAATTATGAATTGAGATTAATAAATTAGTTACCTAGTTGTTTGATGTAGTGAAGATGCATCGTGTGACCACAAGGTATTAGTTACCTAGTTATTTGACACATTACAGATGCACCGTGTGACCACAAGGGATTAGTTACCTAGTTACTTGACATGTTATAGATGCACCGTGTGACCACAAGGGATTAATTACCTAGTTATTTGACACATTACAGATGCACCGTGTGACCACAAGGGATTAGTTACCTAGTTACTTGACATGTTATAGATACACCGTTTAATCCCTTGTGGTCACTCACCTAGTTACTTGACACATTAAAGATGCACCGTGTGACCACAAGGGATTAGTTATCTGGTTATTTGACATAGTTAAGGCACACTATGCAACCACAAGGGATTAGTTACCTAGTTATTTGACATATTAAAGATGCACCGTGTGACCACAAGGGATTAGTTATCTGGTTATTTGACATAGTTAAGGCACACTATGCAACCACAAGGGATTAGTTACCTAGTTATTTGACCTAGTAAAGGCAGATGTTTGAATATCTTGATATTTAGATATTGTTCATAGTACTCAATGTGCCCACACAACCCTTCTTTTCAAGTATCAACTCATCAATGCCTGAACAATTTCTTATGAATCGTGCTTTTGAGTGTAATAAAATTACACGTGCAACCCTAAAAATGAATCAGATATTGGCTTGCTGAAACTTCTTGTACTAGCTAGTTCCAGAAAACCTTTGAACAGAAGAGCTAGAAACATTTCTCTTCTTGGTGAATCAACTGCATTTTAAAACAGAGGAAGTCATTCACGCGATATTAGCAATTTGTTCAATTACAGCCCAAAAGAAAGCAAGAATTTTCAAGGAATATATTAATAATTCACTCAATTAAAAAAATCAATCCTTCAAAAAAATCAGTTCACTTATCATCATTTCACATTTTAGAAAACAAACAAAAAAAAATATGTACACATAACGAACGTACAGAATAACGTAAATACAAAGAAATTGTCTATATATTTGTAATTTACTCTCTGAAGGTAGCAATTAAAGTACTTACCTCTTCAGGAACTGCCCGGATGTTGGTGAACCCTTTTCTGAACACCACGTAAACTTTTTTAGCTCCACACCTGAGAGCTGAAGTAGCGCAGTCGAAGGCAGTGTCCCCAGCTCCCAGCACTATCACATTGCCGTAGAAATGTGGGAGAACTGATTTAAACCCACACATACCTAGGAGTATTTAATCGTCATTATATTACAATAATCAACAAGAAAAACTCTAGACTTGAAAGCACTTCAGAATAGTGCCTATTAAAAGTATTATGTTTATGACATAACGCGAATTGTGAAAAATAACGTACACCATAACAAGTTCCGTGAAGTCATCTCATGAAGTAGACCATTATGAGCGATAATATAAATTTAACAACCTTCAAATGGTTTCGTTTTTTTTTTTTTGTTTACTTCCTATAAACTCTATACTTGTAAAATAGTGAAACCTCCCTAAACTAGTCAATCTAACCGGCCGTTTATACACGGGCCAACCGTCTGGATTATTCGACTTGACTCGCAGTAGGGGTGGACCACAACATATAAAATAAGTATCATGATTGCATATTCTCTTCATTAAATACTATAGTTTTATCTTTTTAAAAATTTGAATATCTTACTAGTTACACAAATACCGAAGTTGTTTATTAAAATTCTAAGAACTTAAGACCGAACATAAAAAAACTAATATATATAAAAAATACACACTGTATTGAATATATCTAATGCCTTTCGTGTAATACCAGGCCTACTGAGATATGACGGACACAGTAATTGCAATCGTTATATTATTTATTGGTCCCCAGTGGCACAGCGGTATGTCTACGGACTTACAACGCTAGAATCCGGGTTTCGATAGCCGTGGCGGGCAGAGCACAGATAGCCGATTGTGTAGCTTTGTGCTTAATTACAAACAAACAAACAAAGCTTATATTATCAAATTTAATGAATCACAATTGTTATGATGTGAATTAGTTTAAACTGGTGAAATGTAACTATTACCAATTTTAAATGTTTGTTTAGTGACGAATTTCCCACAAAGCTAGTCGAAGGCTATCTGCGCTATCCATCCTTAACTTTTGAAGTGATAGACCAAAAGGAAGGTAGCAAGCCAAAACCATCTATCGCCAACACCAGGCCCACATACGCTTACCAACGAATAATAGGATTAGCCGTCACATTATCACGCCCCCACGACTGAAAGGGTAAGCATGTTTGGGGACGGGTTTCAATCCCGTGACCAGCATATTGCGATCCTAAGCTGTGCTAAACCGAATTTTATGTGAGTCACTTACAAATGTGAATTAGGGTAAATATTAATAATAATAGTATGTTTATTTTAACACTAATTATTAATTATTTATTTTTACTTGATTAACTTTCAGAAAAACTAGCGAACCAGCAAGTTAGACCTATTGTTTCCAGAACGTGTGAAGTAACCACATCTTCAACAGGAGAAAACTATATTTGTCATATCTAGTGACGACGAGGCTTTTCGCCTAATACCAAGGCTCATCAGGTCTGCAAGGATAATTTAGACACAGTGGTGGTTGAATCACTATTTATGTTGTCAAACTGCAGGAACAACATTGAACAACTGTTATGGTGCGAACTAAATTAAGTTTGTAAAGTGTGATTTTTATAAATCAAAATTAGGGTAAGGATTACACATTTCAATGGACTTTACAACAAACGTTACCTTTGAAACGATACTGTTGATCCTTCTTTTATAGCAGTTTCGTTAATTTTAACAAAATATAAACGAAGGCTTACTAGGTTTGCTGGCTTTGGAAACGAGTGGTAGAAAATCTTTAGAGGTGTAGAAGCCGCTTTCATTGGTCAACCCTTTAAAAATAGGAGTAGTCTTCGAATCTGGTAATCCTGCAGAAGACAATGCAAACATCCCGTTTCACATAATTCAAGTATCTTATGATTTCTTTCGGTGCGTAATAGATTGTGAACGGAAGTACAACTGTAGAAGTATAATTAATTACATTGTTTCTCTTCACAACCTTAAGAAACAAACTTTTGACCCAATAAATAATTACACAGGCCTGCGAATTTAAACTTCAGAAAAGTTGTTTTGGTTTTCATAAAAAAAATTCCAGAATTTAGCTTCGCAGATTTCGAAAATAATATTCATTTTTTTCTATCACGTATTTTTTTAAATCGGGAAGAAAAAAGAACTTACTTAGATCAAATTATTATTTCCTTTACTACAATGAACATTTTTTATTATTATGTTTGTTAACAAAAATATAAACAAACCGAAGAAAATTGATGTCAAACGAATATGCATCCTTATTCATCCTGATTTTTTTTATGAACTCTACGTCTTTTAATCTCAAAACTACGTGTTGTGGTCTTTCTTTATGTATTGCGTCTGGAGTATCTCGTTTCAATAACCAGCAGTAATCAGCCATCATGAGGATGTTCCACCTTCCCTGATACCGCCTCTACATTTCCCTGGTGTCTCGATGAAACCTTTCCCCTTGTTCTTCGCTGACGGCACCGATACTTTCAGGGAAATAGTCAATATGTGAGTGCAAGAAATGAACTTTGAAGCTCATATTACAACCTCACTCTTTCGAGTATACTATTTACAATATTTTCGTAATTTTGGTTCTTGTTGTTTCCTAAAAATCTGTCAGTAACATCTATAAAGGTAATCCACGCTTCTTTTTTTAACTTTCCTTATTGTTCTTTCGAACTGTTCATCCGAAGTCAGTTTCCCAATATGAGGCCTAACAAAAATCCCTTCTTTAAGTTTCGCTTCTGAAAGAGCTGGGAATTGTCCAAATAGATACATGAAACAGTTGCCATTTTTATCTAAGGCCTTCACATAAAACTGGGCTTGATGAAGCAGTTTGTAAAGTGGAAGTAATGGGACTTTCTTCGTGTCACCCAAACTTTCACGTTCAATATTTTTCGATCTTGGTATCAGACTGACTCTGCGTGGCCATTGCTTCTTTATCAAGTGCTGATTTCGTGCTCTGCTGTCCCATTCACACACACACACACACACACACACACACACACACACACACACACACACACACACACACAACAACAAACGAGACTATTATTAGTAAGTAAACGTAGTTAGTATACGACAACAAACAACAACTAACGTAAAGTACGTTAGACGTACCACCAACGAAGTACGACCTAAC